GTGTGTGCCTGCCTGTCCGCCCGCCCCCGTCCGCCCTTCCTCCCGCTCAAAGCCTTGTTGCCTGCCCGACCGTCCTCCCGCCCGACATGTTGGGTGTGTGCGTGCCTGCCTGTCCGCCCGTCCACCCGCCCCCCGTCCGCCTATCTGTCCGTCCACGTGCTCGAATTGTTGTTGTCTGCCGAACTGCCTGCTAGCCTGACACTTTGCTACCTACCCGACCGCCCGCCCCACGCGTGCCTGCCTGCCTGCCTTCCTGCCCACCTTTCCGCCCGCCCAACACCTTGCTGCCTGCCCGACCGCCCGCCCCGGTTCAAGCGTGCCTGCCTGCCAGCCCGACTGCCTACCCCGGTGCGTGCGTGCCAGCCTGCCTGTCTGTCTGCCCGCCTCCCGTCCGCCTGTCCACCCTCCCGCCCGACACCTTGATGCCTGCTCGACCGCCCTCACTGTTTCACGCTGCCAGCCTTCCTGCCCATCCGCCTGCCCACCCGTATGCCCGTCTGCCCACCCGACACCTTGCTGCCTGCCCGACCACCCGCCCCGGTTCAAGTGTGCCTGCCTGCCAGCCCGATTGCCTGCCATGGTGCGTGCGTGCCTGAATGTCCACCCYTCTGCCAGCCCCCCATCCGCCTGTCTGCCCGCCCACCCGACACCTTGCTGCCTGCCCAACCGCCCGCCCCTGTACAAGCGTGCCTGCCTGCCAGCCCGACCACCTGCCATGGTGCGTGCGTGTGTGCATGCCTGTCCGCCAGCCCCCGTCTGCCCTTCTTCCCGCTCAAAGCCTTGTTGCCTGCCCTACCGTCCYCCCCTCGACATGTTGCATGCMTGCCTGCCTGCCTGTCTGCCCGCCCCCCGTCCGCCTGTCCTACGCCTTGCTGCCTGCCCGCCCGCTCGCCCGTCCACCTACACGACGCCTTGTCTCCTGCCCGACCGCCCGCCCCGGTGCAGGCGTGCCTGAAAGTCCACCCGTCCGCCCGCCCCACATCCGCCTATCCGCCCGTCCGTCCGCTCGAAGCCTTGTTGCCTGCCCGACTGCCCGCTAGCCCGACACCTTGCTGCCTGCCCGACCTTCCGCACCGGTGCACGCGTACCTGCCTGCCTGCCCACCCCTCTGCCCGCCTGCCCGACGCCTAGCTGCCTGCCCAACCGCCCGCCCCCGTTCAAGTGTGCCTGCCTGCCAGCCCGACCACCTGCCCTGGTGAGTGTGTGCGTGCCTGCCTGTCCACCAGCCCCCCATCCACCCTTCCGCCCGCTCGAAGCCTTTTTGCCTGCCCACCCGCCTGCCTGCCTGACACCTTGCTGCCTGCCCGACCGCCCGCGCCGGTGCGTGCGTGCCAGCCTGCCTGTCCGTCTGCCCGCAACCCCGTCCGCCTGTCCACCCGCCTGTCTGACACCTTGCAGCCGGCCCGACCGCCCGCCCCGGTGCGTGCGTGCCAGCCTGCCTGTCCGTCTGCCCGCAACCCCGTCCGCCTGTCCACCCGCCTGTCTGACACCTTGCAGGCTGCAGCGAAGTGTACTTGAGTTCACGCGTGCCAAAGCGCCCTTTGACGTACAGACGCGCGCGCGCGCACYTAAGACCCGCGCGCGAGTGCACGTGTGCGCGATAGTGAAGATTTTTTTTATAACTTAACCAAACTAAACCAAATTAACTTATTTCAATGTAATCAGTGTGAAAACGTTTAAATTCCTTTTTCCTTTGTTTATCCTGCTGCTGTTGATTATACCATGTAATACGGCTTATACTATAACTGTTATATTTTTCTACACTAAATGTAACAATCTGCTATTTCTTTATAATTGTACACGCTAAATATTAAACAAGTCTGAACTGAGTCACAGGTATATCTCAGTAAAATATTAGCTATTCTAACAGTGTAGGCCTATTTGTACCAAAAACTAAAATTGTGAACTGAAGTTAAATTACATTAATTATTTGCATACACACAGCAARGTATTTAGTTACTGAGAAAAAAGAAGCTGAGGTAAAACTTTTCACTCAGTTTGGATAAATATAACCAAAAGTAAAGTGTATGTCAACAGCTCTGAAACACCAAAATAAATTAGGTCAAATCTACCTAACATTTCAATACATTCAAATTGTAAGCATTAGTAATGCTTATTAGTTTTTGTCGATGTACTTAATTATATTTTTTTTAATTAGGCAGAAATGTTTACTACCTACAAGTGTAAAGTTACATAGAAACGCATTTTTAGACAATGATCAGACCAACCTTTATTAAATCAGCAAYTATACAGATGGTACAAGATMATCAGACTCCATTTCAAGAACCTTGAACTGTGCTACATCTTAGACAAATAGTTCAAAAGATGTGTCTTTTGACTCTTGAACAGTTTTTCACACAGCTTACCCAACAGGGCTGCACAATCACTGTCATTAAGAAAAGTTTGCAGCTCAAGGTTGCAAAATCCAGACAAAAAAAACATGAAAAATACAATAATAATACAAATACAATTTTAATTACCTGCAAAACATTTCAATTATTTTTTAGGCTGTTTCTTTTTAAGAATTTTTATAGTATTTCAAGCACATTTTTGTGTTTTTCAAACGAGTTAAGGGGTTTGTGCAACTTTTGCTTGATATAATTTTTTTTATTTGTTGTTTCATTGGCAATAAAGCGACAAAGGACAACACTGCAGCCCAGTTGAGACGTTGCCTTTCAAGATAACTAACTTGTCTCTAGGTGTGAGTAACATATACAATGCAATATAAACAATATACAATATATACAGATGCATCAAAAGATCGAGTCGGGGCTGCATTTATTGTATCAGAATTTGGAGTGAAAGTAGGAATAAGAATCACTGATAAATCACTGATAAAGTATCAGTATACACAGGAGAAATGATCGCAATATTACTCGCAGTTCAATGGATTGAGGATAATAAACCACTCAGATCAACAGTTTGTTCAGATTCTAGCTCTTCATTACTCAGTTAAAAAAAATAATAGTTCAGAAATCAGGCCAGACATAATAGAAACAAAACAAACACGATACAGGATTAAAACGATGGGACTAATTTTTCTATGGATACCAGCCKACATAGGAGTAATAGGAAATGAAAAAGCAGACAAAATAGCAAAACATACTACCAAAAACAATGTAGTTGACAGAAACAGAAATTACAAGTATCATAAAGCTAAAAATTAGAGAAAAATGGCAAAACCAATGGAAGAAAGGAGATGGTTTTATAGAATTCCAAGGAAACAAATGAGGAGTACTGGAAGAAACATAAGGGAGGAAACAGTTTTGTCAAGGCTCAGATTAGGACATGCAGGGTTAAACAAAACATTTATTTTTGGAAAACGAAATATGAGTACTGTGGAGAAGATGAGGACATAGAACATGTAGCGTGAGTGTCCCATATKCAACTGTGTGTTGTACTGAGTGAAATGACTGAAAAGGAACAGTACTAATAAAAAAAATAACTGGGGGAAAAATCCTTACTTTTTAGTAAATAAAACTAAATTRTGTTTGGATAAGGGTATAAACCAAAACTCTTGGCACCCATCTGAGCAGTACGGAGCCTGCGAGGGGACATGGGAGGTGTTTTTTCTTTTGCGTTCCCATGCAATGTATTGCTTTACCTCGCAAAAGCCGTTTATCACTGTTGTGCCTGCCGGTTTATTAGCAAACTCACARGTTAACCATTAGCGAGTTAGRSTACTGCTTTAATTCAGCTTCAGAATGAATACAGTATATCCCACAGCCACGCATAGAAGTAMGTCATATGCCGATATTTTAAACACAGTACAGCCACGCAACATCAATGTCAATTTCACGAACTTGTGGCYACATCTTGTTTTCGTAACCAGATATTTCAAAAYTAAAAGTCTGATTTAATTCASTTCATWTAAAAAAATATTTTGCGTGGGAACGCAAAAGGAAAAAAAAAAATCCCCCCCATGTCCCCTCGTGAGCTCCGTAGAGCAGAAAGAATATTTTGATGTATAAATTCCTAGAACACCTTAAAGTCCACATAAGTATATAGGATAATTTAAACAAATAATTGAAGTCAAAATCAGTATTCACAGAATAAACAGAAAATATTTGTCAGTGTAATGTTCACAGGCATAAGAAATGTGACACAGGACAGCCAAATCAAAATAATTTATTTTTGGTGACATTTCATACAGTTTCTAAGATTGTGTCTCAAACACTTGGTTGATCCATTACTACGTCTRCTGTTGCCACCCCAACCCAAATTAACAGAAAATAAACCCAAACAAAATGTTAAATTGCAGGGGGGAAAAGCAATTTCTGCAGATATTTGCAAGCCTGTCAGCATCAACCATATGCTTCTAAATTATTTCACATTACTCATGAGTAAGATTCTTTTCAAAACAAGGTTAGTGCATTTATTTAATGATACTAAAATCACTAGCTGCTCATACTCAATGAAAAAATAAAAAGACAGCCCCAGTGATTGAATCCTCGTTTTACTGCATTATCAAACCCAAAGTGAGTGCATCAAGTATTTTCTCTCTCAGCTGACATCTCCATGAGTGAATAAATGTCGTGTGTGATTTCATTTTGCCAATGCGATTTCACGCAACTTTGGGGAAACCAGCCTACCAAGAATTGGGAGAAAAGCGTTGTGCATTAAAATTAAAATAAATAAATTTAAAAAGCAAACACAGCGAGTCAAACTTCAAAATCTAAGTCAACCTGTTTTTAAAAAATTAAAGAAAAAAAAAAACCCATAAGAACTCACCCTAAAGCACAAAAACAATCTGATGAAAACCTGCAGTCAAAAGCGGCCCTCTGTAAATTTAGTACTAGAACAATTACATTCTCCCACACGTTTCTAGTGAAGGGTTATTACAATATAGCATAGGCAACTACACCTCTACAGCTTCTCAAAAATCCAGTTTCACTGAGCCAAACGATTCCCAAACACTAAATTATTTAGCAGACCTCATTAATAAAAATCAAAACTTTATCCTAGAACTCTATGATCGCAGGCAGCTGGCACATAGCATGAAAAAGGTTGTCTTTTTCTTTATATTCACCACTTGGCTGCCAGATATTGTGAAGCCGTCATCCTTAACAGCACGCTTCAGTCTATTATTTTGAAATCATGTCTCCGTTATAAAGAATAATTCACAGATATAAACTTAACCTGGATATCCTGTGATGATGTAGAAAAGCCAAACCTCACCTGAAACACCAGGCACAACGAACAGTCAAACTGAAGCAACATGTACTTTTTTTTAAACCCCCACCCCACCCCAAGGTTTCCCCACCCGACCCGAAACACATAAACAGAGAACCTGACTGATTATCAACATGTGACATAGTTCTGAATCCACTGCGACAGGTAGACCCGATACAGTTCTGATAAAACGGAGATAAAACTCAACATGAAAAACTTCGGACCAGGCTAGCAAGGTTCACCGTGGCTTACAGGCCGGTGAGCGCCCACCCACAAAGAGTATTCCAGCTCCAAACAAAACCACACAGATGACTGTGGCGTACATCAACGGTTTCTGATGTCCGACGGCAAGTCAGAATCAACACACCACCATAGAACACATTTCATTAATATACATTAGAAGACCACTCCATCCTTCCCCCCCCCCCCCAGGAAGATGACTCAAAATTTCTGCTGTAAAAATCAAAATGATCAGTTTCATTATATCGGTGCGACAGCACACTGAAGCACTTCAATCACTTTGCCGAACAATCAATACAAACAGACATCAGTCAACCCTTCAGTCATACTTGCAAACCTAAGCAAACAAGGAAAAAAAAACTGATGTCTCATTGCGTGTTAGTGATATCTTTGTATATGTACATGACATATATGCATGTTCTTTTCATCTTAGTGCGTATTGTTCTTGCAGACCAACATCTATTAAAAAACAAAAATTAGGTAGAGGGCCTTTTATGTGGCCCTGCATCCCACCGTTCCCTTGTTGAGCATAAATGAACGACCTCCACATGAATCACTTTAATTTTCTCTTTTTTTTTTAAACTACTGGAGGCCAAACAAATTTTTTTGTTTCGTTTTCAAATTGCTCGTCAAAGTTCTTCAGGTTTCATTTTGCCCTTAAGTCCTGGGTGTCACAGTCATTTTAAAAGCCTTTCTTTGGACAAGTTCCAGGAGGGAAGGTGGCTACCATAATGTTGTTGCTTTTATCTTATTCATTTTTATATAATTATATATATATATCCATGTATATATATTTATACATTTATTCATACATCTTTTTTTTCTTCCTCTTTTCATGTCAAGTTCTTTTTCTTCTTTTTTTTTTTTTTACTTTGGCGATACAGGTGGAATGTTCTGCTCTTTGCCAGTGTGCCTGTAGCCACCCTGTGGGGAGCTGCGTCGGTTGGGGGGCGGGCGCCGCTGCTCCCGAAACTTGAGCCCCCCCGTGCCTCTGGGGACYTTGCTGCGGTAGTAGCCTCCCTGAGAGTCACGTTCACGTGGCGGCCGGCTCTCCTTGCACTCCCACCCTCCCTCCCTGTCATGACCTCTCTCTTGCTTGTCTGCAGGACTGATGCCGCTGGAGCCCGGCTCCTCGGCCTTGTTCACGCGCAGCTCACGTAGCGGCTGGCCCGACGCTGTGCTGGAGGACGATGGAGCGGGGGCTGCAGGGGGAGGGTCTTTTGGTGGCCGTTGGCACACTTCGGCGTAGCTGAGTTTACGGGGCTCCTGAGAGAAGAGAGTTTCAAATTTAATATTATAAAACCACACCGATTCATAGATTTACTTTTATGATTCATTGAGTCCAACCCTCAGATCTCATAATCTTGATGCTCACTGGGAAAGGAGTGAACATTCTGGACTTATGGTGAGGTAGAGTAGACAAAAGAAAGAAAAACAGCAAAGGAAGAGATGTGAGAAAAGAATGAAAGAAAGCATAAGCCAGTCAGTTCACTCCCATAACTCCCTCTATGCGCACAAGTTCTCATCATAAGGCAATTATGTATGGGATAAATCTTGTGCCAGCAGGAATTGAATTTGAATTAATTTGCTTTGAAACCGTATTTTGGTTTATTAAAATTTCAGTTTGACTACTTTCACTTTCAGTTCCATAATTCAGATTTTTGTGTCACATCCTGGTCCTTGAGAAAGCCAGCCAGAGTAATCAAACACAGATCCACAGATTTAAGTTTCACTTTGGTGAAGTTTCCCTTCTGTAATGTAACAGAGTTGATGCAATCCACCGTAAAAGTGACAAAAACAAAGTTATTTTATTGCAGTGATTAATTTTACCTATAGAAAATGTTACATTTACATCACATCATGGATCAGTCAGCAGCAGCAGCATCTGATCAATATGTGATCCATGATGTGATGAAAATGTAACATTTTCTACATTAAGGTAAAATTAATCACTGCAATAAAATAACTGTTTTTGTCACTTTTACGGTGGATTGCATCAACTCTGTTACATTACAGAAGGGAAACTTCACCAAAGTGAAACATAAATCTGTGGATCTGTGTTTGATTACTCAGGCTGACTTTCTCAAGGACCAGGATGTGACACACAAATCTGAATTTTGGAACTGAATGTGAAAGTAGTTAAACTGAACTTTTAATAAAACAAAATACAGTTTCAAAGCAAATTAATTCAGATACAAAACTTTAAATAAATTCCGTTTCAAACCATTAAATTCAGTTTCAATTTAGTATAATTCATTTTCAAACCAATGCATTCAATTTCAGATTATGCACATACAGACTCCATCTGAGCAATTCAGATTCAATTCCTGCTGGAACAAGATTTAACCCATAATTATGCTCTCATATTACCTGCTAAAACATGATATTTACCTGTGCAGGGGTGGTTATAGTGACTGTAGCAGGGGTAGCAGGGGCTGGCGCGCTGGGTGTGGAGACAGCAGAGGGTTGAGGTCGTGAGCTTTGCGCAGGCTGTGAGGAGGCAGAGGAAGAAGAGGAGGTGATGGCGGCTTGAACCGGTGTACGAGGAGCTGTTTTTGTAGCAGGTGGTTCTGGCCGCTCAGCCCGCTTTTCTGGATAAGTGACACTGTCGAAACAAAAGTTTCAGGCGTTAAGATTTAAACATTAACAAGTATGTCTGATCTGAAAAGCAAACATTTTTGGCTACATCGTACCGGGAGGACAGATGCCCGAGCGGTTGAGTAACGGGTTTTGCAGGTGTTGGGGCAGGACCAGGACTTGAGACAGCCGCAGCCTCCTCTGTGGCGGAGGCTTGGCCTGAACTGGGACTCACAGTGGCTTCTTTATTGGTTTGTTCCGTCTAAAAATGCAAATATGCAGATTACATCTCAGAGGACCTCACATCYACAATATCGTCAATTAGATTAATTTTTGAATCGCTTAATATCGCTTACCTTGTACAAACCGCGTACAACATCTGACATTCGGTTTTCGAGCACTGGCTCTCCCTGCGTGCTGACCACACAGCCAGGAAGAGGAGGGAAATTAGTGGCAGCCAAGTCAAACTTGGGAGGGGGAACRTTCACCTCAGCTAAAGGTACAGGTCTCTGCGAACAAAACAAGAACACAAAAAATTAAATGGTTGCCAGCCCATAAATACGACAGGACAGTTCATGCTGTGTACAATTTTTATGGTAACAAAGCACTGTTAATTACCGTGATCCGTTCATCCTCTCGCCTCCTTCGTGTTCCTCTGTAGGTTGTGCTCCGTCTGAAACACATGAAAAAAAAATTTAATGACGTGAAATAAGGAGTGAGATTGTGGAATAATTTGAAAGATGTTAAAAGTGCCACATCAATGTAAATGTTTAAGAGAATGATAAATTAGATTGTTAAAAAATATGAAATGGTTTAATATGTAGCCATTCAATAGGCGTTCGAGAAAGATTCAATGTTTATTAACTGAAGATTATTCTAATTAGAATTTATACTCGACATGAAAGGGGCAGATGATAAAAGATTTTTTTCTTCTCTCTGCTGCCTTTCATTTCATTTCATTTGTATTTTCTTTTTGGTACATAGAATTTTGTCGTTATGGAATGAATAAAGTTTGAAGAAAAAAAAGTGTTTTACATGCAGTGTAATGGCATGAATATCATTATTAACCTGATGGATACTTATTTTGAAACGTCTGCTGCAAAGTGCAGTAATGATGGAAAATAAATATCCTTTGAAATTTACACCATGTTTTTATTTCAGGGTTCCTACAGCTTAAGGTAAGTTAAATTTAAGACTTTAAGACCTCTTCAATGCCACTTGAAATGAAATTTAAGACCAACTTCACAATAAACACAAACAGAAAAAAACCCAGTTAGCAACAATTTTACCAAAATGTTTATTCCAACACCAATTATAAAGAAAAAATGTTACCAATTATTTTAACATTTGAGACAATTTATTATCATCTTACTCACAACGTGTTAACATTTAAGACCTCTGAAAGATTAATTTAAGACATTTTAAGGCTAATTAAGGCCTTATTTTTGAATTGATGAATTCAATTCCTTTTAAGACTTTAAGGYTCTGCAGGAACCCTGTATTTAGAGTAACTTGTCAGGTTGTGGTAGTTTTCATGATGAAAAACAAAATTGTAGGACTTTCATTAAAAAACAAAAACTCTATTTTTGTGCTATTTTATGCAAGAATATCTTGTAATGCGTTATGTTGTGTTTCAAAATAAAATAAAAAAAACATAGTCCAAGACAGTTTTAGTGACTTAAAAAAAAAAAATCAATATATCCCCCCTCACCTGAATTAATTTTGTTTTTATATTAGCTTCTTAGTTCTCACATTCACACCAATTTTATTAAATTAAGCTGACTAATACAGCCAGCAACAATGAATTGACATAATGCAATAATCCCATTTCTTCTGAAGAAGAAATGTGCGATTCTTAATTTACTGAATTATATTTTGAATTCAATCCCATTTTGAGCTTTTTCATTTACTGTAACCAGTTTTAGTTTGGCGCATGCACAGTGGCTCATTGAGCTGCTGTCATCCAAAAACAAAACAAGAAATAAATAAGTTTTAATCTTACCTTCCACGTCCAGCTGTGCCAGACTCATCACTAGGATCCAGAGATGAGGAAGAGGACGACAGTTGTGAAAACGCAGAGCTCATGTCAGCGGTTGTTTGGACTGGGTTAGCGGTGGCGGCGACAACTGAAGGCTGTGGGCTGCGCAGTCCAGGCACACTCTCCAAGGAGACCGGTGTTATAGACGCGGGCGACACCTCGGCTGATCTCACTTGTGGCTTTACATGGTTCCTGTTGCAACAAAGAAAATGGAAAATGAGCAACGATGTTCAGTTAAAATGCTCATGATGCCTAAAACAAATCAGTGCTTCTGTGTAAAAAGGGTGGAAAGAAAAAAAAGTCACTGTCTGTTATATAAATAGTTATTTCCATTTCTTGCATGTCCATTTAGTAGACAAATTTCCAGGTAGGGCTGAGTGATTATATGATTGCGATTATTAATCGAGAAAAAAAAAAAATTCAGGTCGATCACGGTGATCAGCTGTGAGCCTCTTATTTGATCAAACATGGCGGAAATATGCTTGACAACAGCCAATCAGAATCCACCTTCTCCTGCTCCACTTCCATTTATAAGTTGCTAATGAAACGTGGACGGAATCGAAGAATTAACCAAAGTAATCCATTTGTATTTAAAAACAAAAAAGAAAATAACATTTACATTATTATATTCAGCTTTAACTATCTTTGGAAGCTGTTTTTACATCTCAGGTGTTATGCTGAAATTTTATTTACGTGTGTGCATCTGTACTTTAGGATAACTGATTTTCTGTTGTTTTATTAGTTGACAAATCATTATATACTGCACAACAAGTCTTTATTGAAGTAATGTGTCACGTTGGAGGATTTTATTGCGTTTTAAATTTCTAAAGTGTTTTTGACGTAAAGATTATATAATTATARGCYCACAGAAACAAGTAATCACAACTATGAATGCGTGTTTATGAAACGCACATTCAGCTAACGAGCTGCTCGGCTAAAGGAGGCATTTAGTTTTATCGCATTTCACTAAAAACTTATCAAATACACAACCCAACAACTCAAACAGTTTTGCAGACAAGCTGTAATCAGCGCATTAAACCACCGCAACACGGTGATATGTTTCATAATCTGATGCTAACGTTAGCTCCTTCATTTCAAGATAGCATAAATTTTACCTGGAGCTGTGATCGTATTAGACGTGTTGTCTCCACGGTCCACATTGCCGTCATCTTTACGGCATCCTACTTATTTTCATATAGCTGGACTTAATATTTTAGACAGGGAAAAAGTTTGGGGAACTGTTTTTCAGCCAGAACACAACCCCTGCAGAGCTGCAAGTGCCGACAGGCAGCTCTGCAGGAGTGCGCGGGGGAGGGGTCGCAGGGGAAAGTCTGCATCCGAACAGACCAGAGGAAAAATYAACAAAAAACACTTATAGTGTAGGCACGGTATGACATGAAAAAGTCACGGTTTGAAAACCACTAAAATTTTCTATCACGGTATACGGCCCACGCCTATCGTGATTTTTTTTCGTCATGTCGTCCAGCCCTATTTCCAGGTTTCATAAAATGTGTCAGATTTCCTGATTTCTTTTTTTTATTTTTTTTTTGGTGTGAAAAGTCATGCATTTTATTTTCTATTAAATGTTTAATAGCAATACAGTCACTATTCATTTCAAAATAAGTAGTTTTTTTTAAATTGTAGAAAATAAAAGTTATGACCTCAACGGTAGTCAGTATTGTAAAATGTTGGAAAACCTTCAGGAGCTTTTGTTTTTAAAAAGACCTCACGAATTGCTTTGACATTAAATTACTATAATAAACAGCAAATAGTAACTCAGTATACTGTACATAATGCATGGAAAACAGCAACATGCAGATGATAAAAATCAAAACACATGCTGCATTATTAGGCTAATGTACACATGCAGATGGATTTTGGACTCAGCAATAAAAYACGGCAACAAATTAAACTCAGAACACCAGGTAAGAACTGGACAGGCTTTTGTCAACAATTTGTCCAAATGACTTATAAACATCAATATTCATATCCGTCTTTGACCCTCAGATCTCATAATCTGAACGCTCATTGGGAAGGGAGGGAAGCAGTCGGCCTTGAAAAGACAGAACAGAAAGGAGAGGAATAAGGAGAAGGTAAAGAGAGAAAACCAAAGCTAGCTGCTTCATCCCGATGTCCCTCTATGCGCATCGTGATCTCATCATCGGGTCAGAAATGTTTTGTCAGATCCTCTTTGACCGTGAGAACAAACAAGACATCTCGATTTAAGTAGAGGTAACCAAAAACCATCTCTTAGTTTATCAGCTGTTCTGTTAATGCACATTCCACCACATGGATTAGCCTGATAAAAGCAACAACACAAAACAAACTGGGAGGTAAGCAGTGATGGAGGAAAGAGTTAACGTGATGTATGCATTAATATCAATGCACAGAGGATGTGTTTGGAGCTAAGAACCTTTAACCACTCAAACTGAAACTGCAGCTGGCATTTATCATGACATGACAAACCCAGAATGTTCAATAAAAAAAGGAATCAAACATCCTCACATCAATGGAAAGAAAAAAAGAAAAAAGACAAATCTGACTGTCAGAGGTTTGATGCTCTGCTATGGATTTAGTCATTTGGCTGCAGCAGTATGGTAAAACATGAGGGTAGCGATGAAGCTTATTATACAGTATAACAGCGGTACCTGAAGGCATTTATTACATTCTTTCTTGAATAGAGGGGGACACTGTGGGGACAGTAAGAAAACCTGAGGTGAAGAGCAGTTCCTTGGCGAGGTTACATTATCTTTAGACAGCACTGCATTGCAGATGATCCGATGTTCACAGTTTAACTTGGCATGCGAACAATGACACAAGTGGTAAACACATCACAGTTCTAGTATGTATACGAGAAGGGCAAGCTCAGACTTGAGAAAGAAAAAAAAACTTAAATGAAATGCTTACCGGTTTCTGTTGAAGGGGCGAGTTACGTTAAGAGCAGAAGAGCTTGTTTTGTAGTGTCCCGCAGAGCCGAATCCATTCACAAAGCTGCTGTTTTGAAATGGTGCCTGCTCAGACAGAAAATGTAGACTTTTATTTACAAATACGAACCATTTCTGCAGCTTCTGCTAATCCTAATAAAGTCAAAGTGAAAGCTTTAAGTTATTTTCAGTACACCTGCCTACTTATTGAGAAATTTATGCAGAACTCCTTCACTGTTACCAACAAATTAAATAGAAAAAAAATAGGAAAAACATACAGAATAGTGGTCAATATGAGCCAAGACTGAACATCTCTGGTTTGACTCAATTTGAAAGCTTTTGACTTCTTTGATAACTTTACAGAAAAGCATAAATAGATAAGCAAATTGGTGGAAACTATCCCTATATTTATGCAACATGGGCCTAAATGAGACTCAGTTGTTGATCTATTTTCTAAGATCTACAGCACAGTCACCACTTTTACAATGCCTGGCTGACTGTAGAAAAATAGTTTTACAGAAAATATTATAGACTTAAAACCCAAGAATGTACATAAAATAATGGATAACGACACTAAAGATATAATAAATGGTGCACCTTTTCTGTGGACACTCTAAAGAAAATGCTCATTTGAGCAAAAATGAGGAATTCCGTTTTTTTTTTTTTGCAAACTCTCATACACAAAGACCAGTGTGATTCAAGACCTCCATGTCATACAACACCTGTTACATAAAAACCTTGATTTGTTGTTTGTTGAAAAAGTTGGCTAAAGCACAAATGTCACTTATTTAAAACCAAGAAAAAACTTGAACAGAAATGATTACTTGCTAACATTAGGTTGTGTGAGAACCAAAAGTACAATTTCCACATCAGGAGTCCAGGTATTTCTTACCAGAGGAGTTTCAAAATAGGGTGTGGGTGTAGGTGTCCAGGTGGGAGGTACGATGCCATAAACTGGGTACTGCTGCTGTGGGTAGACGTGCTGCATGTAAAGTGGAGAACTGTACTGGGACTGGCTCTGGGACTGCTGACTGTACATGCTGCTGTCCATACTACGATACCCATTCTTTGCAAAAAATGTGTTGATGGCCTTTATCCTGGCCTGTCAGAGAGAAAATTTAAAAAAAAGTTGGTGGTGGGTGGACACGATAAGATGACACACACAGACACACACAGACACACACACACAAAAAAAAAAAGCTTTACAGAAAACTTTGTAAAGCAACACTTATTTACTCACCATGATTGGTTTTCCCTGAAATGTTTTTACTTCCTCTCTCAAGTACTTGTACGCCTGGGGAAAAACCAGAATATTGTCACTCCTTCCACCGAATTTCAACAGTGATAAGTCAACCACAGTGAAGAAARGTGACGTTTAAGCAGCAGTACCTGCTGAGCATCTGTGTCTGACTGGAATGTGATGTACCAGTTGTTGTTGTGCGCAAACTCAACACTTATCACCTTTGGACAGTTGTCATTTTTGAACAGTGACTCAACTTCCTGTGAACACAATACCAAGAAAGATCTAAATTCAGGTTGAATTACAACTTTAATTGAATGCAGTCAATAAGTGTATGAATAATTTACCTCGACAGGTGTGGTTTCAGGGACCTCTCTTAAGATGATAATACATCTCTTGTGATTAGGCCGTACCTTCTCCCCCTTCTCATCTACTTGTACCATAGGAGATGCTAAAGAGAGAAAAAGATTATAGTTTTAGACACATTTAACCTGTGTATGTATAAACTGTTTTATTACACATAATTCTTATTCAGTGACTTACATCTCAACACATCCAGGATGAGGTCCATGTCAGTGGTAAGGACCTTGATGCCCTCCATGCTGGCTATGGTCCAAATTGGGACAAACTGATCGCTGTCCATTTGGGACATGAGGTACAAGTCCTTGGAAAGGTTTTCTCTGAAGTACAAAACAATAAAACCCGTAACAAAATTAGCCTTGCCTTGATTAAAAAAAAAATTCACAGTTGAAATCAGGCATTTAAAGAGTGCTTTGACCATTGTGCTTTTACCTGGAGAAATAAAACTCAAGCTCTTTCTTCAGAGACTCCCGTAGGTTCTCAGAGGAGACTTGTTGTTCTTCTGTTTTGGAATCTACCAAGCCCAAAAACACAAACATATAAAAAAAAAAAAAAACAAGATATGAATGTTGTTTAACAAATACCACAAATGTTTGCAGTACAGTCACAATCTGAATCACACTCATTAACTCACTACACAAGAGCAACTGACAGATATTTCCACAGATTTAGATCCCAAAGTGTCATAATTTCTTGTATTTTTGTGTATATGAAGTTCAGCTCAGAAGCAGCAGGTTACTTGCTGCTTTAATTTTCTGGCCTAAAAAATTTGTTTGAAAGTATTCCGTTTACAATTAAAACATCCCCAAATGATGCACAATGCTTCTATTATTTGTTGCAATGTTGTGTTTTTATCTTAAATGACGGCAAGTAAACCTCTGCTCTAAGCAACAATCATTTTACAAACAAGTTTATTCAGCACTGAACTGATTTGTGACGAACACAAACAGATCAGACAGATCTGAGGCAGTACAACCTTAATCTAAAAAAGGGTGTGAAGATTTATAACAGATCTTTTATGTTTCTATTGTAATAATTAATACTTTTTTTACATACACTATTTTTATGAAAACATTTTTCAAGCATGTGCGTTTACTCTGGATAGGTTTTATTTAGCAAAACAAGTGGCAGAAATGTCTCTTTGTAAAGGTTGCAGACTGCTGTGCATGAGCTTGCATCTATTTCAATGAGGTTTTATCCCAATATGAGCAGTCATGTCAAAACTATAATTCAGTCAAATGTGTGGGTTTATGTGGTCATTCCTTAGGACTGCAACTAATTTTGTCCCAGAAAAGCTCGGAGTTTTCTGTGTCCCAAAAACCTCCAATTATTCCTTCTTTTAGTGAATTTGATTGTTTATCAAAACAAAAACCAAAACAAAGTTAGGCACAGAAAACAAGCCCAATTTTTACAAGAGGCCACTTCTACATTTTCAACATTTCAGTGACAATATCACTTTGCTGACGGGCTGAAAACATGTACGGTATAAATTTTTACTGGACGTAAAACTTATCCTGACACGCTTTAAAATGATGCAAACTAATGTCTAACTGAACAAAACCAGACATATGATATCAGTTCAGTGGTTTTTACTTTCCATGCCTGACTGGAGGGCTCATTTCTACTGGCAATGTGGGTATTTTTCACGTCATACAACGGTCAAAGTTCGTCTAAGCTGAACTTTGACTGCTGCTTGAATGCGAGCTCACCCAGCTTACGCTTTCCTTGGCGAACTAACAGTCATCACATGGCACAACCCAATAAAAACTAGTTTTAGGAAGCTGCTGTGCTACAATAGTGTCACTCTACAAAAAGAGTTTTATTGTKAACTGGTGCTTTAGTCAAGTTCCTTTCTAACACCCTCTAATCCCTCCTTGTACATAAACAGGAAGGTAAACATGTTAAAGTTCAACTTTAACAAAAAGAATAACTGGGTTTTAAGTTCCACAGCAAGAACAGTTTAAGTTTTCTTAGGTAACAAATTGCTGAACGGGTTAGGTGTGACCAAATAATCTGTGTGCAAACCATGTTTCACAAGGCTAAAAAAACAAATTTAACTTTGAGGTCAAACATAAGGCTTGGAGCGGATCTGTTGATCTGACCTGCAGAAGGTACGTGTCCAAACACTGCTATGACAAAACTCAGAGGACAGTCTCACATTTAAACATGGATGTTGTTTTACATTCAAAGGCATCCCATTCCATGTGACATGTTATATCCCAGCCAACCCTTATCACTTTCTAATGTAATAAGAGCAGAACAATCTCCCGAGCAGCAGCCATGTGTGAAGATGATGGCACGTGAGGTGACATGACTGACCTGAGCTCCCCGTCGTGGACTCAGTGGGGGAAAAGCCCAACTCTTGAGGGTCCATTCCATTTACTGCTATCTCAGCTGTTGCTGTGGAGCCGCCGTCACCCAGGGCGGTATATCCCACAGTGTACTGTTTGCACCCAGCTGACGATGGCTCTGAATAACCTGTCCACAAGGTACAAGAACTTTTGAATCAGAAAGAACAGCAGAAAGTTCAACATTTGCACTTTGTCAATTAAAATTGTCCCAAAAACTATTATGGAAATTTGGATGAATGCAAACGTTAGGATAAAAACATACATTTGAACATTAAAAGCTCTATAATTTGTATAAAAAAAAACGTTTTGAGCATTTTTTTAAATTTATTTTTATTCAGAGCATGGACTCACTGATGTCAGAGGGAGGCCACTGAGGACTGCTGGGAACAGCCTCGCTGGGGGCCACAGGGATCTCCCGCCACACCTTGGCATTTGGGTTTAAGCCAGCACCTTTTGAGGTGACCTTCAAATGAAATAGGAGAAAGAAATTGCAGGATCGGGTAAGTTCCACCACATGTCTATATTTATCACAGAGTGATGTTTTTATTCCAGGTATATCAAGTATTTTAATCACGAAAGAATGAGAAAAGAGGSGGAAATATGCTGTCAGTTATCAAGGTTAGACACCAGAAAGATATCTTGTACTTGTTTACAAAAAGATTTGACATCATAGCTGTTCCCAGACTAGTTACCTACATTATCTTGTATKAATGAGCCTTTGGCCACAAAAGCAAAACCACCAGAACAGATGCAAAAAAAAAGTAGAATATAGATTAAACAAAGAAATGAGCTTCATTCTATCAATGTGCCACAAAGTTAAATGTGATCATTTGACCAGACTTTGCAATATAACTAACTGTGGTTAGCATGCAT